TTCCAGTTCATGGCATAGAGTGTGAATATTATTCTGTCAGCCCAGTCCCTCGAGTACCAGTTTGTCATACACACCGAAGTGAATGCTGGAATGCAGCTGAATGGCTGACATATTTAAAACCTCCAACTCAATGCTCTTCCAGTGTGAATCCTTTTGCTCATTTTGACCTTTTATAGTAGTACCATGAGATACGTGAGTGGTTGTCATGAAATTACACTTTTGGAATAACAGGCTGGAAGCCCACATACCTCTTGTTATTCGCAGTCGTTCCCAGGTGACCATATGATGCAAGGTAGTGAATTACGGTGATGGCCAACAAAATGTCAAGCTGACACGGTTGTGGGATTTCTCAGCCAGCATTGTATGTTACACCTTCTGGTTACATTTTCTAAAATATATGTGCCATAGCTAGCCTTAAAGCCAGCATGCCACAGGCTTCTCAAGTCAGCCTTAAAGATAACTTTTTCTTTTTCCTCTTTATGTTTGAGAAGGTTTTACAGAACACTGGCAGCACAGATGACACATCACTAGGTGATGTTTTGAGAGCGGCGTGAACTTTGGAAACAGAAAGAAACTATTCACAGTTAAATCCTAAAGTGTGTAGTTTGATTTTAAATTTGTTTTCTTTGATATAAAAGACTATTTAGGTGTTAAAAGATTACCTGCCCCAAAGGGCTCAACATGTAGTTATTGAGTTAAGGCGAAGAGCTTTAAATTGTAATTTAGATTTTAGAAAATGCTGGAACAGGAGAATAGATATTTCTCATTGATATAAATGGTGGCCTTTTATTGGCTGAAATAAGTCAAGCAGAAACCATTTCCTTTACGACCGGAGAGACACAGGGTTATTGGAATTTAGGGATTATTGCTGTATCCACTTATGCTAGTACAGTAATTGAAACAGTTATGTGGAAGTTATCTCAGGGGTATAAAGGTAGATTTAAACATAACTAATTAAGTTTATATTAGATTTCAAAGCCTGCTATTGATACTGGAAATATCTAGTAAAAATCAATTGGTTAATGTTTCTTTGTTAAAAATGATGGTCACATTATTCTAGTATACATTATAGATAGTCCTCACTTTGTATCTTGATAATCAACAGAAAAATTATGAATTTCAAGACCTTTAAGACTTTATGTCAAAATATTAATCTTTTAGCATAGATTATAAATATTTAGGGAAATAAAAAAATAGTAAAGCTGGTATTTAGGTAGTCCTCACTTTGTATCTTGATAATCAACAGAAAAATTATGAATTTCAAGACCTTTAAGACTTTATGTCAAAATATTAAAAATCTTTTAGCATAGATTATAAATATTTAGGGAAATAAAAAAATAGTAAAGCTGGTATTTAGTACTCTGTCATTTAAAATGTTAGAAATATCGAGAATTAAAGTGTTTTTATTTCTTTGAGTAAAACATATCAAGGATAATTTCAACATGTTTTCTTTCTTCTTCTCATTGTGGAACTTATGATAGGGAGAGAGCATCTTTTCTTTCCTTTAGTGAACTGTCATGTTCCTTGTTAAGTTTGGACAGAATGTTGGAAGCTGATCCAAAGTTGTGAAATATCTGAGAGATTCTTTAACATTACTTTCTCTGGGACATCTTCATCCTTTTCCTCACAACCACTTTCCAGTTTCATTCCAGTGTTATCACTTTTCGTTTCTTTGCTGCACTTTCTTTTTTGTTGGCCCATACTGTCTTTTGCTTATCCACTTTTATAAAACATCCTGTGATTTTATCACTTTGAGCTGAAGAGGCAGCGTAGCTGCCTGCTTAGCTATATCTGTGCTTGCACTCAATAGCAGATATGAGTGACCAATCACTGACAGACTTTGAAAGAAGTGACATGGTTGGCCATTTGTCACAGTACACAACTGTTACTCACATAGTGATCTGTGGACCAAAGAGCTAGCAGCGATGTTTGTACTTGATGCAATTAATCAGTTCATGTACTGTGGTTCATGTACTGAAGTTGGAGCCATGTTATTGGGGGACTGGTATTATTTCACTAAACCAGAGTTACTGAAATGCATGCATATTGGAACCGTGCAAAATGAGGAGAGCCTGCACTACAGTTATGAATTATTTGTGGTACATTTAAAGCTTGGCCTGGCTCCCTTGCCCTTACCCATTACACACTGAACTCATCCAGTGTAGCCAAGTTGTGATTTAGAAATTCAGTTCAGAATTGAACTGGGAGTTAGGAAGTCATTAACTCCACCTTGGAGTCAGCTTTGACTTTCTCTTTTCTTACCCGAGACTTCACAGAGTAGTCCGGCACTAGTGAGAGAATTTTCCAGACCCCATCCAGCATATGAGTAGTTGAGACTTGACCTGCAGCCTAGGCCTTGAACACAGTTTATTGATTGGCACCTTGGTAAGTGTTTTTCAACTCTCTCCTTCCTTCTCCGCTTTCTTTCCTCTTCCTTGGGCTGCCCTTTTCCTCCCATGTCCCATCTCTAAGTTTTACTGATTTTCCCTATATCATCATATTAATTCATGTTTCTTTTAATTCCTATTGCCATTATCTTAATCTGTGTGTTTTTCAACTTGTATTTCAATTATTATAATAGTTTCCTAACAGACTTTCCCACCTTAATCACTCTCTTTTCCAACTAATCCCTCAGAGTAATCTTCCTGGATACTCTTTCAGCCTTGCTTCATCTTCTGCTTGAAGCCTCCAAAATAATTTACCGATTACAGAATAAAATCCAAACCCCTTATCAGGCTTTAATAACCTTCATTGTCTGACTCATGCCTCCTTCTTCCAGTTTATCACCTGATCCCCCCTCCCTTCCTTCAAGAATCCAGGATTTCAATAAGAGATTTAAACACTTTCTCCCCAAAATGCCTGCCTCTCCTCCTTGATATATGTTGTCTTTCTAGAATGCAGTCTTCTGTGTTTTCTGAATCTTGTTTCAAAGGCTTATCCCAAATCATCTCTCCTGTGGAGTCTCTCTTGACTTCTTAGAAATGACTTTTCTCCTCTCTGAAGTTCCAAAGGATTCATATTTTATATTTTTCAATCGTCACTTATTTGCTGATCTATATTTTTAATTATCATGTATTATTTAATCTCTCCAGTTAGCTTTTAATTTCGTGAAGGGCAGGGACTGAATCTTCTACACTATGTGGGATGGTATTTGACAAAGTGGCAGGCATAAATATGTTCATTCCTTCATTTAGTATTTTTTTGAGCCTTAGCATTTCTTGCAGACTTGAGCTACATGCTAGGGGTAACATACAACAAGATCAATTTCCTGACCTCACAGAGCTGTAGTTAAGTGAGCCGTACAGAGAAGCAGTCAGACACTTGGAATGCAGTAAGACACATGGCATGATGGCTAGTGAGTGAGATTCTGTGGAAGCTCAGAGGAGAGGCACGAAGCCCAGATGAGGGACAACTGAAGATGCTTCTAGAAGCCTAAAAGATAAGTAGGAGTCAGGTAGGCGAAGGGGGCCAGATGGAAAGAGTGTCCCAGGCAGAGGACTCAGCATGGATAAAGCTCTAGAGGGGCGAGGGGGCTGAGTGAAGCCACCGAGGAACCAAATAAAGTTCAGTGGAGCTGCATTGTAGAGAATGAGGTGAGAGTCATCAGTGATGAGGTTGCAGGGGAAACGGGTTAGGTCCTGTGCTGGGAAAGAATGTTTAGGAGGGAGGACTTTCAGGACTGGATGTCTGATAGGTGATGGCAGGGAGTGGCACCAGCTCGTTGTTAAGGACCACTTGGAGGATGGAGGTATTGGAGGGAAGACGATGAATTCAGTTTTGGACATTTTAAGTTTTGAGGTGCCTGCAGAATATCTCCATGGAGATATATAGTGGTGGAAAGTTTGTTGTCGGCAGAAAGCTTTGGCCAAGAAATATAAATTTGGGTGATATCAGCATATGACAGGATGCAAGAGTGGAAGAGTGTATAGAGTCAGTAAAGATTTCAAGACCAAACCTTAAGACACATCAGTATTTAAACGACAAGTAAAGAAATCAGAGTCTGTAAAAAAAATATTAAAATGGAATAGGCAAGAAAGGAGGAGCTAAACAGATGAGTGAGATGTCGTGGAAGCCCAGGGAAGACCGAACTCTGTCCATTGCATTTAACGGCATGGAGACCACTAATGACCTTAATGAGAATAGTTTCTACATAGAAGAGGGGTGGGGTGGGGTGCAGAAAGAGGAAACACAGTCTGGCACAAGGTAGATTGCAGTGTGTTGAGAAGTGAACAGACAATTCTTTTGGAAAGTTTCATCATGGAGGAGAGGATTTAAAGAAGGTAGGAGCTGGAAGGAAATGGAATTGAGAGGTTTTATTTTATTTTTTAAGCTAGTGGAAATTGGATGATTTCTTCTGATAAGAAGAGGTTGACTGTAAACTGAACTTAGAATAAAAGCTCCTCTTAAAATTCTTTATCCAACATGTCCTCATATCTTTCAGTATTCTAAATAAGTTAATATCAAACTAGTAGTCACTCTGCTACTTTTAGATTTCACTGACATCTTATTCTCCTAACGAGATTACAAATTCCTGTAAAGTGTGATTTAAACTATTCCACTTTCCTGTGCTGGGTAGCATTTGGTTCAGTGTTTTACACAGAGAAGATTTGCAACAGATGATATTTTGACATTCTCATTTGTTTCTTTGTTTACTCTTTGAACAAATAGTTACTTAATCTCCATCCTGTGCCAGACATTTTTCTAGGTGCCCAGGATGTAAAGATTACTAAACCAGACATATCTCTTGTTCCCAAGGAGTTTATAATCTAGGGAGACAGTTAATAAGCTAGTAGTATTGCAAGACAGACTTAAAATGACAACAATCCTGAATGGCTACGTTACACATATGTGTATATATGACCACTCAGGATTATTGTCATTTTAAGTAGCTCTTAAAATGGGCTGTAATGGGCTGTGTGTTTGGGGGTTTTTGTTGGTTGATTGTTAGTTAGCCTTTGAGAAACTAACTACCTCTCCATATTTTCCTTTTTCCCTTTCAGTAATTTGCCATCTTCCATGTATGAATGGTGGCCAGTGTAGTTCAAGGGACAAATGTCAGTGCCCTCCAAATTTCACAGGAAAGCTTTGTCAGATCCCAGTCCATGGTGCCAGCGTGCCTAAACTCTATCAGCATTCCCAGCAACCAGGCAAGGTGTTGGGGACGCATGTTATCCATTCTACGCATACCTTACCTCTGACCATGACTAGCCAGCAAGGAGTCAAAGGTAAGCTTTTTATTCTCATTTTGCTCATTTGTCAGACCTCTGTTAACCTGCCAAACCCATATAGAAGTCAGGTGTCTGCAGATGGTGAGGGCTGGTATTGAAACAAAGAGGGGTATATGATCTGTGGCCTGAGATGACAGTAGAGGCAGAATGTGGGCCCAGGTTTGTGACTGCAGTACTTCCTAGGCCACAGAAAATTGGTACTGAGGAAATAAGAAAATAAAAAGGAGCCCATCCTCCTTTAGTGACTCTTACCAATATTACCAAGGGCCAATAAATGCATGACATTGTTCTGGTAAGGCCTGGGAAATAGAAAAATAAGCAAGACAGTAGCATGGCCCTTACAGCATAATTAAACTACTGGATCATAGGACCTGCTGATGCATTTTGTAGTTGAAGAGTGCTTGGTTTTAATTCTAAACAAACATTTTACTTCACTAGGCTTCAATTTGGTCATCTGTAGAGGAAGGTAAACTAGGTCACTTGGAGCTCAAAAGTTCTATGACTAATTCATTCTTTTAAATCTGGCATCTTTATGAATGCACAATTTTTAAAAGAGGGTCAGAGAAGTGTTACTGGTTCTTATTCTTTAAAACCTGAATCTTTATGTCAGAAGATGAGATTTTATTTTAAAGCTGCAGAAAGTAAGTCTTACTACAGATATAAAATAGCATGCTTTGGCAGTGTGTGTGTGTGTGTGTGTGTGTGTGTGTGTGTGTGTGTGTGTGTGTGTGTGTGTGACAGCATATACATGCAGTGTTGTTTTAGGGTAAGAGAATTGTGCTTTGTGTAATTGAGTTTCCTCTTTTAATGGAAAGCAGTAAATCCTAACATTTCTGTGATGGAAATTTTATGAGAAATTCAAAAGTAATAAAACTCTTGAGTCTTGCTTATCATTTGATAAAATGTCCTGACTTATGACAACAAGAAGCGTGAATTTCATAGCTTTATGACTCTGCTGAAAAGAATAGTTTTGTCTCATGAATGTGTTACTGTTACAGATTTTACTTTCCCTTTATAATTATGGTTTTATTTTTTAAAATACATAAATTCAGGTTTAATTTTCATTTTGAGTATACTCTTTTATTCTCAAGAATTTTGATGGCTGTGCAATAAAAAGATACACACTATATATATATATATGAGTATATATATATATATAATTTACCCTACATGTAATATATCTGCAAATATGTATGTGTGTATGAAATTTACTTTCACATTGAAAAAATCTTGACTTGTTTGTTAATTATTTATTGTTAACAAGTTTTTCTCCAAATTTGTTTTAGTGAAATTTCCTCCCAACATAGTCAATATCCATGTGAAACATCCTCCTGAGGCTTCAGTCCAGATACATCAAGTTTCAAGAATTGATGGCCCAACAGGCCAGAAGGTAAAGGAAGCTCAACCAGGCCAATCCCAAATCTCTTACCAAGGGCTTCCTGTCCAGAAGACCCAGACCGTACATTCCACATATTCGCACCAGCAGGTCATTCCTCACGTCTATCCTGTGGCTGCTAAGACACAGCTTGGCCGGTGCTTCCAGGAAACCATTGGGTCACAGGTAAGCAACATTGCCCAGCACACTTCAGTAATGCATTCTAGCTGTGGTATCATTTTAATCAAAAAGCCAGACTTGGTAAAAATTATTTCAGTAGAAGAGGTTGGCAAACTATGACCCATAGGTCTGTTTTCATAAATTAAAAAAAAAAAAAATTTTTTTTTTTGTCTTGTGTCTTTTTCCGTGTCCGGCAACGGATCGCAACCCTCAGTGTTGCCCCCGTACCGGACCGGGGACCGGCAACGGGATCGCAACCCTCGGTGTTGCTCCCACGCCTTGCTCAGCCAGTGAGCGGGAACCGGTCTGTATGTGGGATCCGAACCCTTGGGCGGGAGCGCCGCCGCGCTTCCCAAGCGGCGCACTTATCCAGTGCGCCACCGGGCCGGCCCCCATAAATAAAATTTTATTGGTATGTAGCTACACTCATTCATTTACATATTGTCTATGCCTGCTTTCATGCTTTGATGGCAGAATTGAGTAGTTCGAGATCATATGGTCTACAAAACCTGAAATATTTTCTGTGTGGCTCTTTACAGAAAAAGCTTGCCTATTCCTGATGTATAGAATAATTTTAAGTAGTGAACTTCCAGAAATGTATAAAACATGTCAGTCATGAGATAAATGGCACAGGAGATATGTTCTGTAAAGATGTTTGAAGATGTTTATGCCTTTTGCAATAGTTTATAGGTTGTTAGGTACAGTTGAGTTTTGAACCCATGTACAATAATAATTCATGTAGTCTTTTATTTTCTTGTGGTAATTCATAACTAGAATGACAATGCATGAGTTATTCAAAGTGCATTTTAAATATTATTAGATTTTCTTGTAACTTTAGGCCTATATTTATATATCATTAAGTGAGAGAAACACTGAGTTTTCTTTAAAGCTCATCACTGAATGTACATAGAAAAGGCATTGGCTCCTCTACCCCAACTACTTGGTGCTACTTGTTTTGGGGTTATGTGATAATGATGTAGGCTTGTCCTGTGGTTTTCCTCCTATCCTTTGGTTATGGTTTAAATACACGGGAGAAGAGGTGGATATATTATTATTCCTCTTTGTTTCCTGAATATTCAAAAATATTTTTTGTGTTATATATTTGAGAGAGAGAGGGAAGTACTTAGAGTTTAGTAGAATCAACTGTTACTGCTTTAGGAACCTGGAAAATACTTTGAGGTACTGAGTAAATCGATGGCAGGATTATCACCTCTCTTCTAGGAGGAGAAGGGAAAATGGGTTTTTAGACCTGAATGGAAGGCAGCATGTGGGAATGGAAAGGGCATCTCTGTGGAGTTATTAGACCTTGGTTAGAGCCATGGAGGCAAGGAACCAGCTCTTTTATCTGCAAACTGTAGATAAGCATATGGTGCTCAACGGACTTTAAGATTAAATAATTAATGTAATAATTCATGTGAGCCCTGCTTTGCAAATGTTCTTGAACTACGCAAATGTAAGTTGAGAGAATACTGATAGAGATAAAGGCAAACTTAAAAATAATCAGAGTAGGTGGTTGCTTTATGTCATGAAATTACGTTAAGGCAGAGAAAGCCTTGATCCCTCAAACGCAACCGTTATCTGCCTTTGAATACTTGGAATTCTGACTACAGGGAACCTGACGTAGCTTTTTATCCTTCTGTTGAAGTCCAGTATTAGCAAATGTTTTTGAGAGAAAGAACATTATCAGTTTAAACTTAGCTTAAAAATAAAGACTGGATTTTTGTGATAAGGGCAGATTTGGTGGGGGCACTGGGGCTGAAGATAAACTTCATAAAACTCACAATTTTGCCTCAGACTAGCTTGGAGTGCGAGTATGAATTTGGTGCCATTCACATTGTTTAGTCATTCTGGCGTAGGTTGGTCATGGGGAAAGGAAAAAGCAGATCCTTTTAAAACTGTGTGCCCAGTACCTTTCTCCCCAGCTTCCAAGTTGGAACACAGATAATAAAAAGCAAGAAAATAAGGCATAACAAACTTGTTATTCTTGTGTAATAATAGGCAGATGATTGCTAACTAGAAAAGGTGAAAATAAATTATTTGCTTGTACGCCTAAACTGGACTATACAATTAAAATGAATTGGATAATTGATGAAGTTACCCTGATAATTCAAACTCGATGAAATACTTTTGCCTTACCTGGACACTTCTCTGACTTTTGGTGTGAATGATCCAGACAGTGATCTCAATTCTTAATTCATTTTGCATGTGTAGTCACTAATACACAGCTTCAAAATAAGACCTGCTTTCAGAGAACGTTCTCAGCGTGCACTTATTTGTCTTATTGTTCATGAGACATGTTGCTGGATACCCATCATTGCCCGATTAATTTGTGCAATTAGGCTGATCCAGGCATGTAAAACATTACTGGCAAATAGTCAGTAGTATGTAGAGGTATCCTACAAAGATGTTTGAAAACATTTGTGCTTTCTTGCTATGGTGGTTTTGTAAACACAGCTATAGCCTGGAGGTATAGGTAGATTTTAAATCAGTGGCAAAAAACCCCTGCGTAAATTCTCACTATTGTTTTGCTCAGTGGAAGCATTTTTATTAGTTGCAGATTTCAACTATTGAGACTTTTAATAAAATAGTTATCAATAAGTACATATGTTTGTTTATATGTTGGTCTGAGAGGTCATGTACAAAATAAATTTGGCACAAACAGTCCTTGTTTCTGTGGCACATTCTGATAATTAGGCATAAACTTGGGATCGAAAACCCAAGTGATCAGTGCGTTTTCAAGTAAACTTCATAGAGTAGATCCTCAAAATTGTTTTGGATGGTGGCATAAAATGGATGATTGGTTGGGAAACCAAGTGCACAGAGCAAAAGGGGAGAATAATTAAACAGAAGAAAGAGAATGCTGCAAGAAATGAACAAAGAAGGGGTGTCAGAACTTTTGCACGAATATTAAGCCTCTTAAACCTGAGGCATAGTGTAGTATAAATGACTTGGTGGCAAGGTCACCATGTCATGAAGGCCCTTGACCAAGTGATCAAGCTCAGCATGATTAATAGTGAGGCAACCTGACATGTGCCTTTTGATGTGATATAGTGTGTAGTTTGTAGCAGCAACCTGCAAGTGTTTTTTACCAAAAACATCTAACCTAAATCTAATCAAGCCTTTACACCTAACTTCCAATTTGTAGGGAATACTGAGGGTAAAGAAACAAGCTAAAAATATCACACATAGAAAAACAATCAGACAGATTTACAATGTAGAGCATTGTTGCCTGATTCCTTCAGAAAAATTGTTCCATGAAAAAAAAAGTGGGATGGCTTTTCTAGATAGAGACTAAACAACAAATGTAATGTATGAACCTTAATTCGTAGTTAAAAAAACATATGCACACAAGCCAGCTTTAAAACACATTTTGGGAACAACTGGGGAAATTTGAACTATTAATGATATTGTGGAATTACTATTAATTTTCTTAAATGTGATAATAGTGCAGGTTGAGTATCCCTTATCTGAAATGCTTGGGACCATAAGTGTTTTGGATTTTGAATTTTTTTGTATTTTAGAATATTTGTAGAATACCAGTTGAGCATCCTTAATCCAAAAATCTGAAATGCTCCAATGAGCGTTTTTTTTTTTTTTTTGTTTGTATTTTTTGAGCATCATGTTGGCACATAAGAAGTTGCAGGTTTTGGAGCATTTAAGAGTTTGGATTTTTGGATTAGGGATGCTCAACCTGGATTGAAGTTATGTAGGAGAATGTCCTTATTCTTAAGAGATGAATGCTGAAAATTTTAGGGGTGACATGCCATGATGTCTATAATTTACTTTCAGATGTATTTCACATGCAGATATGGCAAAATTGTAACAATTGTTGACCCTGAGAAGTCGGTATGTGGGTGATCATTTTCTTCTTTGAATATCTCAGTGTTTTTGAAATTTTCTTATGAGAGAAAGAAAGGGGAAAATGTTAAAATTTCCTAGACTTATAAATAGAATAATATATGTTTAAGCTGAACTTAAAAGCTGTCACTTTAATATGTTTAATGACTTTTTAGAAAAGACTTTTTAAAGTTTTAACTTTTGAATGGCGGTGGGTGGGAGGGTAAGTGTGGAGGTGGTCACCGTGAGGGGGCCGGGGAAGAGCAGTCGGCCTTGTTTCAAGTGTGACAAAGCTGTCACTTTAATATGTTTAATGACTTTTTAGAAAAGACTTTTTAAAGTTTTAACTTTTGAATGGCGGTGGGTGGGAGGGTGTGTGGAGGTGGTCACCGTGAGGGGGCCGGGGAAGAGCAGTCGGCCTTGTTTCAAGTGTGACATGACCAGGGGCCAATCTAAGAAGTCAAGTTGACAATGAAGAGATGGACATAGGGGATTTTGTGGAGAATCAAGCACCAGGATTTGATTATAGACTGTTGTGAAGAAAAGGATCGTGATGAGTTGGGTTATTTTGAACAGTCTCGCTTCAGAAATCAGAGAAATGCTCACTAAGATTGACTGGCTGACACTTAGAGAAGGATTGTGACGAGATGATGCGTAGCTGTGTCTTTGTTATGAGCAACCTGACCTTGATTGACGAGAGGTGTGTTCTTGAATATCAGTCGGAGAATTTGGTGCTATTTTAGAGATGGAGTATTAATGGAGAAAATTCAGTGGTCAGTGAATAGATCCACTGATGACAGTTAAGTTGATGACAACAGAGGACATTTCTTTGGGTTGTATTATAAAGAAAAAAGAGTAGGAATAATGGGATGGGAAACCTGTTTTTCACCTTGACAGGTAGTGCCAGGATGTAGGGGAAAAAAATCATTCCTATTGTAGAAAGTGATGTTTAATCTTTGAGAGTCCTAAAAATATTTTCTTACTTTAAGGTCATACAAAATATTGATTTTTAGGTGAATCAGGCTTGCCATAAGCATTGCTAAATTTACTTTATTCAAAGACTAGAAATTAATCTAATGGAACATATAGGGTGGGTAAGAGGAATGGGTTTCTTAAATACAAATGAAGTTTGAAGTAGTTCGCAAGTCATCATCTTGGCAGAGTTAGGT